TTGTGACAAAAATCTTTTTAGTTTGGTCTTATTGTCAGTATTTCTTATTGAAATAGTGCAGATATAATCTGCCATTTATGTTCAATGTCTTTTTGAACTTGCTCAGATGAGCGACTTAACATGTAAATTGCACACTACATTTCATTGGCAACAAATGCACCCAAATTTTGCTCATAATCATGCAGTTGTCCAAAAAAACAGTAGTGTAAAATTGTTTCAAATGAATGTGTGGGCATTATTGCATGAGAGTTACTACCACCAACAGATTTAATGATGAGGGCTGTAAAAAGACTATTGTTCTGTTTCTTTAAATGATTGAGAAGACCTGGGGTCAAAAACTAGGTCATACAGCCAAATATGGATAAACCTTGTTAACTATCTATAGGCTACTGTTTTGACCCAAATATCCTGAAAATTGGTCAGACAGATGTTTTTGGTGATTTCTTGGCCAATTTTTATATGGGTCACATGGGGTCAAAAACTAGGTCACACAGCCAAAATATGGAAAAAACCTTGTTTACAATAAATTGGTATTGAGCCTTCATAGGCAGATGAATATATCATGGCCCTCTTGATCTTTTTGTGGAAAAATCTATAGTAATTAGTTAATTTATTCACTATTTACTTCCTATTGTTATTTTCTCTCCTTGATAACGATTATTATACGAGAATTACATGTATTATTGTTCTTAGTTTTGTTAATGCAATTAAATGCAAGATAATAAGAGAAAAATACAAAACAAAATTACAAATCTACATTACAGATAGAAAGAATAATATCCCCCTTCCTAGAATAGACACTGCCTTGCTTCCAAAATTAAAAAAAAACATCTGTAAGCCCATATTGCTGTGGAATATCAGTAGATTTATACTGTGCAATCTCTACAGAGTGGACCTCTGTGTGAAACTACCTCTTTACTACAACAGTCTTACATTTTTGCAAGTTCTCAGCAACTACAAAAATCTTTGTCTCCCAGGTGTGTTGCTCTGCAGATGGTGTAGCGTATTTTTTATACTCTCATATTTCTTCATATACTTTCTACATAAACTTGTATTAAAGTTTTTATGTTACAATTATTCTTCAGATAAAATAAGGCAAGATAGACAAAAGAAAGGAAACATTTTTCAGAGGTTTTTTGAGTGGAGACGTTATCACCGGATGAAAACAAGTAAGATTTAACACTATACATGTGGCTTTCCAGCATTAAGATACAGTCAAACCTTTGTTAGAGACAACCTCCGATTTTAAGACCACCTTGTAGATAAAGACAACTTTTTGACAAACCTTCATGGAACAAAATACATTTTGAATAAATACCACTTGTTTATAAAGGCCATGCATGTTCTCTCTTTGGATTGCCTTCTTTCACCAGTTTGATCAAACTGTGATGAACTCAACTTTTTTGAGGTGGCTCAGAGTAAGCTTTTAGGATCATTGAATGTCCCACATTTTGTTTGTTAACACTCTAGTGGTCACATTTTTGCCTCAATAATCAAACTTGGTAAGGATGCTCGTTTAAGTAACTGCTCAGGTAAGTTCAAACATGGGTCATCTGGGATGAAAATTTCAGTCACAGGAGCTAGAATTAGAAAAATCATGTTAAAAGGAGACACAGGCTAAATTTTCATTTCTTTGTTTTGATTTTTAGCTCGACTTTTTCTTAAGTATTGTTATAGTCCTGGCGGCGTTGCCGTTTGCAAACTTGTACCTGGATCATAACTTTTTTAGTTCTTAATTTATTGTCTTCATACTTGGCCACAACAACCCTTGGGACAAGACCTGTCAGTAGACCACCCTTACCTTGACCTTCATCCATATATGACATTGACCTTCAAGGTCAAATGTCCAAATTTTGCTTGTTCTTGCTATTATTTGCTGTAACTTTGTTATTTTTGAATGAATTGTCTCCAAACCTGAACATAATAATCTTCACTCATAAATGACCTTGACTTTGAAGGACAAGTTATTGAAATTGTCATTTTTTAGGCTATTATTTGCTTTTACTTTGTTGTTTTTGAATTGATTGTCTTCAAACTTGAACATAATAATCTTCAAGGATAATCCTTAAAATAACCAGACAGACCTTGACCTTCACTTATAAATGAATTTGAATAAACAAATACATGTATGTGATTGTCATACAAGCTGATATGTCCAGATAATGAAAATATTGTAAAGCCCTTGATTTTTTTTCTCTCATTTTATATAAACTATCTAATAATTTAGTATGTCATGTATATTTGGTCCAAATTTCTTTAAGACACCGCCGACAAAATAAGTCTCCCTGCTAAGACATTTACATTATAGCCCCCAAACTGTAACCAAACAAAAAAATGCCAGGCATGTCTGAGTCAAAAGTAACTCCTGTTTTTTAAAAATTCACAGTGCAGCAAATATGCAATTTATATGTGCATAAACAAAAACTTTGGGTTTCTTTTGTTATTTTTGTTGTTGTTTTTTTAGCTCACCTGAGCTTGCTCAGGGTGAGCTATTAGGATCGGTGAATGTCCGTCGTCCGTCGTACGTCCACACTTATGACTCAATTATCATCAAACTTTGTCAGGATGCTTGTTTAGTCAATTGCTCGGATGAGTTCGAAACTGGGTCATTTCGGATGGAAAACTAGGTCAAAGGAGCTAAAAATAGAAAAACCGTGTGAACACTCTAGTGGTCACATTTTTGACCCAATCATCATCAATTTTGTCAGAATGCTTGTTTAGATTATTGCTTGGATGAGTTCGAACATGGGTCATCTCCGATGAAAATCTAGGTCATAGGAGAAATAAATAGAAAAACCTTTTGAACACTCTAGTGGTCACATTTTTGAACCAATCATCATCAAACTTTGTCAGAATGCTTGTCTAGTCAATTGCTTGGATGAGTTTGAACATGGGTCATCTCTGATGAAAAACTAGGTCACAGGAACTAAAAATAGAAAAACCTTGTGAACACTATAGTGGTCACATTTTTGACCCATCATCATCAAACTTTGTCAGGATGCTTGTTTAGATAATTGCGCAGATGAGTTCGAATATGGGTCATCTCTGATGAAAAACTTGGTCACAGGAGCTATAAATAGAAAAACCTTGTGAACATTCTAGTGATCACATTTTTTACCCAATCATCATCAAACTTAGTGTGGATGCTTGTCTAGTCAATTGCTCAGATGAGTTTGAATATGGGTCATCTGTGATGAAAAACTAGGTCACAGGAGCTAAAAATAGAAAAACATTTTGAACACTCTAGTGGTCACATTTTTTACCTAATCATGATCAAACTTTGTCAGGATGCCTGTTTAGATAATTGCTTTGATGAGTTTGCAAATGCTTTATCTCCGATGAAAAGCTAGGTCACAGGAGCTATAAATAGAAAAACCTTGTGAACACTCTAGTGGTCACATTTTTGACCCAATTATTAAGAAACCTTGTCAGGATGCTTGTTTAGTCAATTGTTTGGATGAGTTCGAATATGGGTCATCTCGGGTGGAAAACTAGGTCATAGGAGCTAAAAATAGAAAAACCTTGCGAACAGTCTAGTGGTCACATTTTTGACCCAATCATCATCAAACTTTGTCAGAATGCTTGTCTAGTCGATGCTTGGATAAGTTTGAACATGATTTATCTCGGACGGAAAACTAGGTCACAGGAGCTAAAAATAGAAAAACCTTGTGAACACTCTAGTGTCACATTTTTGACTCAATTATCATCAAACTTGGTCAGGATGCTTGTCTAGGTAATTGCTCAAATGTCAAGCTCGAATATGGGTCACCTGGGGTCAAAAACTAGGTCACACTGATCAAATATGGATAATCCTTGTTAACACTAGTGGTCACATTTTTGACACACCTGTCATGAAACTTGGTCAGAACGCTTGTCTAGATAATTGTTCGGGTGAGTTTGACGGGTCAGGTGAGCGATCTAGGGCCATCTTGGCCCTCTTGTTTAGATTATACATTAATGTTATCAATTACATTTCTTCTGTTATGATTAAATAAATGAAGATAGAAAATGTTAAGTAACATACATACAATATATACCGATAAGTATACTTTGTTACTTGAAAACGAAAATTCTAACCGTTTGTTGTATGGTTTGGTTACGTTACACACTCATTTAAACATCATACATGTACATATGAGTTTGTTACACATATAAATATCTTATAACATATTTAATATCTTATAACATATTTATTCTATCTGTGTCATATACGAATTGTTATCAAAATTATACAACATTGAAGTTAGTAAGCGCTTGGATATTCTCATTACTTATGTCACTGAACGACATTTTTCTTCTCGTTTTTCAGAACTACAAGGCGACCTTATTAAATTCTACAGAAAAAGGTGTAGTTCAATACCTCTCTCACCGCTTCTTGAAGAAATAAAGACACCTCTAGCTGGGTTCTACGTGATGCCAGATATGGTTGATGTAAAACAGAAGTGCATAACTTGTCATGAAGAGGAGAGAACACCGATCAAATCTTTAAGAGACCTGTTTTCAACTGGGAGAGGAGATCAGCACGAAATTTATCTATCTGCTGATGTAGGCTTTGGAAAAACTGCTTTCTCAAAATATCTTGCAATCATGTGGTGTCAAGCTCATTGTCGTGATGAAAACTACACCTGTTTTAAGGACAGCGAGTTGAAAGCGTTAGTTGACTTTGAGTTCGTATTTTTGGTTTTCTTAAGAGACTGTACCTCTGTTTGTAACATTGACGATATGATTGAACAGCAAATTACTAATAAACTCCCTTCTTCTGCAACACTATATGAAGTTTTAGGTAGAGAAAAATGCTTGATTATATTGGACGGTCTTGATGAATGGACTCACCCTGTAAATAGATGTTGCGAAGTATCAGCAAAAATCCCACATCGGTACGGACGTGATAATTGTGTTATCCTAACGACAACCCGACCGTGGAAGCTCGGAATTGCAAATCTCAAAACAAGTCAAATAAACAAAAAAGTAGAATTGGTTCAATTAAGTGCAGATTCCATGCGGCAACTAGAAGAAAATGCTATAAGAAAAATGACAGGTGTTCATAACGATAGGGTACTGAAGAGTAAAACACATGACTTCAATAAAGTGATACATGACCGTCGCCTAGAACACATGCAAGTCATTCCACTCCTCCTCTTGTATATAGTTTGCCTATGGTGCAACAACATTCCTATTGGAAATTCAAAACATGAAATTTACACCAATATCATTGAATTCTTACTCTCGAGAACATCAAAGAAACACTCAGAAGTTGAACCATCTCGTGAATCATCTGCCAGTGAAATTCCAGATTGCTTCAAAAGTCATAAATTTTGTAAAAAGTTTTACAGTCTTATAACATCATTAGCAGAACTAGCTTACCAAACACTATTTAACAAAACAAGAGAAAATACGCTGGTATTTGATAGAACGGTTGCTGAAAAATATCTCAGAGCAGACGACATGAAATTAAGTCTTCTCTCAGGAATAATGTCAGAAAGCAGAAGTAAAACATTAATCAAAGAATTTATCAAATTATCATTTCTTCACAAAACAGTTCAAGAATTTTTTGCTGCAATATTTATAAGTTCTCAATATGATGCTCAGAAAACTGTTCTAGAACAATGTAGAAATGTTCAAGATATTCTGGACATGTCAAAAATTTGTGAATTTATAAGTGGAATGAATGCTGACCGGATGTGTGCATTATCAAATGATTTGATGTCTGTGATAAATGAAGACGAGAAAACACGCAACTATAGAACCAGGACAGATGACAAGATCATGTACACTAATCCATTGTATGACATTCAGGAAATGTTCATGTCTTGTTTACAAGAAATGCCTGAAAGTGAATATATTCAATTATGTTTGCAAGATTTCTTCATTGACGAAGACATCAGGCATAGTGAGCAGTTACAACGTTTGATAAAACAAAATAAAACCAACATAAAATCACTTTATATAAACACCACCAAAACTTCCAGCAGTTTACGTGAAATTATAGATTTATTCTCTGTCACAGATCTCAGTCATATACAGAAACTTGTCTATCGTGGTGACATGGAGAAGGAGGATGAGATAAACTGGATATTGTTTCCCAGTCTACAGTCTGTAACTTTGATGTTGGGTAAATGGACAAATGATGAAGAAAATCTGAGTGAAAGCATGTTGCGATGTCAAAACTTACAATATTTATATATTGATAGATTAACATCATCTCACAAAAAACTGGAAACTATTTTCAATTTTATCTCTGGTCAAAAATCATTGAAAGAGTTAACATTGATGGGGTTACATTGTAACGAACACAGCCTCCATGATTGTAAGAGATGGAACTTGGACTTGTCCAAAAATATGAACTTAACAAAGGTAGACTTGGAGCAGTTACCTAGGTTACAATTAAATCTAACAACACCGTCGATAGTTAATGTTAAATTGTCTGGAATCAATCTGGATGAAAGTTCATTGTTACTGTCACGTGACATGTTGAAGATTGAATGTGTGGAGTTGAGGAAGATAGAAATGATTGCAGGAAGTTTACAGAACTTTATTACCATACTCGAAAATCTGCCACAGTCAGTCAAAGTAGAGATGGACGACATAGAACCGGAAAAAGAATATGAAAGTGTTAAAGAAAATATCCGGAGTTCAAAAACTTTTCATGTGATACAAGACTGTGCGGGGACATTTGAGTTCAAAGTAAGAAAATCAGGTAAGGAATAAATAAAAAATTACTTCAATTATTAACATTGTAACATATAAATGAATTTTTTTTAAAAAGAAACCTAGAAAACAAAATGGCGTAATTATGAAACTTACCTTGGTAAATTTGAGGACATTTATTGTAGGTACAATATATTACATTTGAAGATATTAATTAATAAAAGCATTATATCTAGATAAAGATATTTAATGGCGGAGATTTTCATATGTTTTGTTTAAGGAATGATGGATACAAAGTGGATGTAGGACATGGAAAATCAAATGTTTAACAGGTGAGATTTTTTATGAATTTTTTCTTTATAAAATTTACGAGTATTTATTCATTTACTATGTACATGTTTGTTCTATAATTAAGTAATTAAATTTATTTCAATTTTCGTAAACGGTAATATTCCAAAATGAGCTTTTATTACGTGAGTTGTCATATTAAATAGCATTAGTTACTTTAAAACAAATCTGTTATGTGATAAAATTATAAAACAATGACTCCTTTTAAGCTCACCTGTCACAAAGTGACATTGTAAGCTTTTGTGATCGTTTTTTCGTGTCCGTCCGTCATCCGTGCGTAAACAATTACTTAAAATGACATTTCATCATTAACCCCTGAGCCAATTTAATCCAAATTTCACAGGAATGTTCCTTTGTTGGTCACCTTTTAAAACTGTTAAAACAATTTAATTCCATGCAAAACTTTGGTTGCCAGGCAACCAAACGAAAAAAAAACTTAAAATATCTTCTTTTAAAAAAACCCAAAGAGCTAGAGGTTAGATATTTGGCATGAAACATTTTTATGCTCCCCGAAGGGTGAGTATATAGTCGCCTCTTTGTCTGTCCGTCCGCACTACCGAATAGGGATAGGTAGCCTTCGAACTGTGAACAGAACAAAAGGACAAAAGGATTCATTTCGTAACAATAGAATAAGGGGCCATGGCCCCCCCCCCCCCATTAAACAAAAGAAAATAACAATAGAAATGGCCCTTTATCCCAATTTGGTCCGACAACTGTCCGTCCATCCGCTTTTCTTGTCCAGGGCATAACTTTGAAACAACAAGAGGTATCAACATGAAACTTTGTAGTTAGTTAGATCTCATTGAGTGTCTCAAAAAGTATTTGAGGTATCAACTTGAAACTTCATAGGTGGATGGATCTCATTGAGGAGGAGTGCATTGCACAAGAATGATAACTCTACCGTGCATTATTTTTGAGTTATTGCCCTTTGTTGTTTTTCAAAATTAATTTTTGTCCAGAGCATAACTCAAAAAGCCTTTGAGATATCAAAATGAAACTTCATAGGTGCATAGATCTCACTCAGGAGGTGTGCAGTGCACAAGAATGATAACTCTACCTTTTATATTTTTTGATTTATTGCCCTTTGTTATTTTTCATACCTAATTTTTCACCCGAGTGGAGCATAGCTCAAAAGTGTTTGAGATGTCAACATGAAATGTCATAGGTGGATAGATTTCATTGAGGAGGAATGCTGTGCACAAGAATGATAACTCTTCCCTGTACAATTTTTGAATTATTGCCCTTTGTTCTTTTTCATACTATTCTGTCAGGAGCTTATCTAAAAAAGTATTTGAGGTATCAACTTGAAACTTCATAGGTGGATGAATCTCATTGAGGAAGAGTGCAGTGTACAAGAACGATAACTCTACCCTGCATAATTGTTTAGTTATTGCCCTTTTTTATTTTTCAAAATTAATTTTTGTCCAGAGCATAACTCATAAGGCCTTTGAGATATCATTCATGAAACTTCATAGGTGCATAGATCTCACTCAGGAGGTGTGCAGTGCACAAGAATGATAACTCTACCTTTTATAATTTTTGAGTTATTGCCCTTTGTTATTTTTCATACTTAATTTTTCAATTCAATTTTTTTCTCAAAACGTATTTGAGGTATCAACTTGAATTTTCATAGGTGGATAGATTTTACTGTGGAGGGATGCAGCACAAAAGAATGATAACCTACCCTGCATTATTTTTCAGTTATTGCCCTTTGTTATTTTCAGCCATCAGTATTCACATAGGTTTCAAATCTGTAATCACTATAGCCAACAGTTTTCATTACCAAAAGACCTCTTAAAATGGAATTATTCTGCTGTACTACATATACATTCTTCCAATGAGCAAACACATTCGGCGGGGGATGGCCATGTTGACATGGCTCTTGTTTAAAATAGAGATTAAAAAAATGTCCAAGCAAGTTATATTTTTTATTTGATACAGAGTTTTACCTTTTACCTCAGTCTTAGACGTATTTAAAGATTTTGTAACACAATTTTTTCATGGTTTTTGTGTCGCCTCTACGGAGTAGTGGCGACATATAGGGATCACTTCTCCGTCGTCTGTCTGTCCGTCTGTCTGTCTGTCTGTCCGTCTGTCCGTCCGTCCGTCACAAAACTTGTCCGGACTACTCCTCATAAACTACTGGTGCAATTTCATCCAAACTTTACAGAAATGATCAGTACCAAGTCTAGTTGTGCATATTGTCAGAATTTTCCGGTTCAATGATTTTTGTCAGAGTTATGGCCCTTTAATAATTTTAAAGTTTGTCCGGACTACTTCTCTTATACCAGTAATGCAATTTCAATGAAACTTTACAGGATTGATCTGTAGCTCAAGTCCTTGAGCATATTGCACGGGTTTTCCGGTTGAAGGATTTTTGGTTGAGTTATGGCCCTTTGATAAAAGGTGTTTTTTCTGTGTGTTGCCAGATACGCAAAAGCTTGTCCGGACTACTCCTCATAAACTACTGGTGCAATTTCATCCAAACTTTACAGGAATGATCAGTACCAAGTCTAGTTGTGCATATTGTCAGCATTTTCCGGTTCAATGATTTTTGTTTGAGTTATGGCCCTTTAAAAAATTTTATTTTTAAAGTTTGTCCAGACTACTTCTCTTATACCACTTATGCAATTTCAATGAAACTTTACAGGATTGATCTGTAGCTCAAGTCCTTGCGCATATTGCACGGGTTTTCCGGTTGAATGATTTTTGGCCGAGTTATGGCCCTTTGATAAAAAGGTGTTTTTTTCTGTGTGTTGCCAGATACGCAAAAGCTTGTCCGGACTACTCCTCATAAACTACTGGTGCAATTTTATCCAAACTTTACAGGAATGATCAGTACAAAGTGATTAGTCTAGTTGTGCACTGTCCGTCTGTCTGTCCGTCTGTCACAAAATTTGTCCCAACATGAAATTGGCCATCATGAGGCGACACATGTGATTACTGATCGCTCTTGTATTTTATAAATATGATGCTGAAATTAAGATTTGTCAATTTTGTTAGTTCAAATAAGCATTATTAGTCCCCTACCGGTTTAACCAGAGGGGACTTTAGGTTTACCGTCCGTCTGTCCGTCCGTCCGTCTTTCTGTCAGTCCGTCCGTCCACAAAACTGGATCCCGCGATGATGCAAAAAGTACTGAAAATATTTTAATGAAACTTGATATATGGATAGATGGCAGTATGGAGATTATGCATGTCTTTTCCTTTTCTTCCTATGTTGAAAATTCTGGTTGCTATGGCAACTAATAGTCTGAAAATATGGCAAATTTAACACATAAACTGGATCTAGTGATAACTCAAAAAGTACTGAAAATATTTTAATGAAACTTGATATATAGATAGATGGCAGTATGGAGATTATGCACATCTTTTTCTTTTCTTCCTATGTTGCACATTTTAGTTGCTATAGCAACTAATAGTCTGAAAATATGGCAAATTTAACACATAAACTGGATCCAGTGATAACTCAAAAAGTACTGAAAATATTTTTATGAAACTTAAAATATGGATAGATGGCAGTCTGGAGATTATGCACATTTTTTTCTTTTCTTTTTATGTTGAAAATTCTGGTTGCTATGGCAACAAATAGACTGAATTTCAAGATTTCTTATCTAAATTTTTAAGCTTTTTCACTATAAGCTCTTTATTTCTTAGAGTGTTTACTTCAAACTTGAAATATATGTTTCTGGTCATCAACCACATCATATGTGACAAGGTTTACAACTCTAGCACAAAAATTATCAGAATTACCTCCCTTGAACTTAGAATTTTTATGAAAAAAATGTCTTTTTAGCTCACCTGTCACAAAGTGACAGGGTGAGCTTTTGTGATCGCTTTTCGTCCGGCGTCCGTCCGGCGTCTGGCGTCCGTCCGGCGTCTTTCGTCCGTAAACTTTTACTTTAAATGACATCTCCTCATAAACCACTAAGCCAATTTCGTCCAAACTTCACAGGAATGTTCCTTTGGTGGTCACCTTTGAAAATTGTTCAAAGAATTTAATTCCATGCAGAACTCTGGTTGCCATCGCAACCAAAAGAAAAAAACTTTAAATAGCTTCTTCTAAAAAACCCAAAGAGCTAGAGCTTAGATATTTGGCATGAAACATCTTCTAGTAAGTGTCTACCAAGTTTGTTCAAATAAAAGCCCTGGGGTCAAAATTGGCCCCGCCCCAGGGGGTCATTGATTTCCCCTATTGCATGTAGTAAAAACTTAAAAAAACTTCTTTTAAAGAACCGAAAGAGCTAGAGCTAAGATATTTAGAATGAAACATGTTCTAATGGATGTCTACCAAGTTTGTTCAAATAAAGGCCCTAAGGTTAAAATTGGCCCGCCCTGGGGGTCATTGATTTTCCATATATGTATATCGTAAAAACTTCTTTTAAAGAACCTAAAGAGCTAGAGCTAAGATATTTAGCATGAAACATGTTCTAATGGATGTCTACCAAGTTTGTTCAAATAAAAGCCCTGGGGTCAAAATTTGCGCCGCCCCGTGGATCATTGATTTTCCTTATTTACGTAAAGCAAAAACTTAAAAAATATTTTAAAAAAAAAACCAAATAGCTAAGGTTTAGATACTAAGCATGAAACATCTTCTAGTGAGTGTTACCAAGTTTGTTCAAATAAAAGCCCTGTGGTCAAAATTGGCCCACCCCGGGGGTCATTTATTTTCCTTATATGTGTATAACAAAAACTTAAAAAATCTTCTTTGAAAAAACTCAAATAGCTAGAGTTTAGATATTAAGCACGAAGCATTTGCTAGTAAGTGTCTACAATGATTGTTCAAATAAAAGCCCTGGGGTCAAAACTGGCCCTGCCCCAGGTGTGTCATTGTTTTTAACTATATGTGTAAAAAAAACTTGAAAAATCTTCTTTTAAAAAACCCAACGAGCTAGACCTTAGATGTTTAGCATGAAACATCTTCTAATGGGTGTCTACCAAGTTTGTTCAAATAAAAGCCCTGGGGTTTAAACTGGCCCCGCTCCG